CCACTGTAGATGTTTGATCTGTTCACAGACGTTACATGAATAAAGAGCATGTTCTTTTGAGCTGGATTGCATTTACTTGAAATGCTTTTAAGTTCCACCATGTTTTTATGTAATCAATAGGGTTTTTTACTGGTTTGTTTTTATATGTAGTAATGTTCCATTCTATGTTTATTCATAAATGTGCTTCCTATTCTCCAATTCACAGATATTGGGTTGTTTCCATCTTTTGAATATGAATAGGGCTGCTATAAACATCCTTACTCAGATAATGTTTGTGAATGTCTCTCCCATTTCACTTGGGTAAATACTGAAAACAAAACTGTGTGTTTTGTTGACACATAACAATTACACACATATTTATGGGATACAGTGTGATCATCTGATACATGTAAACAGTATGTAAGGATGAAGTTGGAGTAACCCCATTATCACTATCTAAATATTTATCATTTCTCTGTGTTGAGAATCTTCCAAGCCTTCTCGGCTAGTTCCTTATAAAATACACAGTTATATCTAGTTCGATTTATCCTTCCTCTATCTCCATCCCTTCCTGATTTCTAGTGACCTCTATTTCACTCTTTACTTGAATAAAGTTAACTTTAAAAGATTTACACACTAGCAAAAACATTCAGTGTTCAAGTAAAGTCAACTCACTTTACTAGACATAACATCCTCTAGTTTCTCTAGGTTGCTGCAAATGTCATAGTATTAGTCAGGGTTCTCTAGAGGAATATATTGGGTAAAATAAATATACATTGAAAGGGCACTTATTAGATGGGCTTACGCAGTATGATATAGGTAATCCAACAATGGCTGTTCTTACACTAAAGAGGCTGAGGATCCCACAGCTATCTGTCTGCTCAGTTCACAAGGCTTTGAGCATCAGCAGTCCCAATCAAGTACTGAAGACATGAACAATTCCTGAAGAGCCACCACTGGTCTTCAATCTACCTCTGAAAGCCTGGGAGGCTGGGTTATGACACCAACCTAGGATGGCAGCAGTGATGGCAGGATCAGCAGTAGCAACGGGGTAAATGAACTCGCCAGCGAGCAATGAAAGCAAGCAGGCAAAAAGTAAAAGCCCCTTCCTGCCAGCCGCCTTATGTCTGGGCTGTGGCTGGAAGGTACAGCCTACATTTAGGATGCCTTCCCACTTTAATTAATACAATCAACCAAATCCCTCACAGACATTCTCAGAGGCTAACTTTGATCTAGATAATCCCTCTCAAGGTATTCCAGAGACTGATGTCTTAATTGATTCCAGGTCTAGTTAAGTTGACACCCAATCACAGACAGTATTTCATTATTTTTAATGTCATTTAAAAATTTTATAAGTTATTTTTATAAGTCATTTTTATTTTTTAAATTTTTATAAGGCATTTTTATTTTTAAATTTTTTATAAGGCATTTTTATTTTTTAATTTTTATAAGGCATTTTTATAAGGCATTCTACCATATTTGTGTGTCACAGTCATCCATTTGTTCTGCTCATGGTCACTGTTTCCATCCTGAAGCTATGGTGAATAGTGCTACAATGAACGTAAGAATTCAGATGTCTTTTGACACATTGATTTTGTTTCTCTTAGATTGAGTGGTTGCTGTAGATTTGATCATTCTACTTTTACCTTTTTGAGAAAATGTCATAATGTTTTCCACAATGGCTACAGCAGTTGACATTCCTACCAAGAGTGATTGAAAACCCTTTTTTCTCCACTTCCTTGGCAGTACCTATTATCTTCAGTCATCCCTAATAAACTCTATTTTGATGTATTATTCATTTATTTTGTGTGCATACATGCATGTGTGGGCGTGTATGCTCACATAGTGCACACATGGAGAGCAGAAGACAACATTCAGGGGTCAGTTCTCTCCTCCTGAAGTGGTAACAGTGGAGCTTGGCTGAGCTGAGTGATAGGGATGGATCCTTTAAGAACCGTTGCTCCTTTCTCCTGGGGTTCCTCTCCCCCTCCCCACACTTCAGGAGGTAATATAAACTGCTAGTGGAAGCAGTGAGGAAAGAGCCTATCAGAGGGAGGAGACCCTGAGCAGGACAAATAGGGGTGGTGGTGTCTGGAACTGGAGTCTATAAAAGCTAGGACCCAGAGCCTCCAGGCAGACTCCTGTCTGTTCTAATAAACTTTGTAGTTGTTGTTCTTTTATTTGCTCTCTGCATTTGGTGCTTCTCAGTTCCACTTTAATCTGTAACTGCTGCTTACACTCTGTCTGCTGCCTTCCCATCTGAAACTGTCAGGATCTCCGCTTTCACCTCCCCGCTCAACTCTGATTAACATACTCCCCTCATTTTCCTGTCTGAGTAGATCTTCTTTCCAGGACAGGCAAGTCCTTGTCCATTCTGTGGACGGTACTTAACTGTCCTCCTCGATAACTACCCCTCACCCGAGACCCCATAATTCTTCCATCATGTGAATCTCGGGGTCCGACTCGAGTTTCAGGCTCGGTGGCAGAGGACATTAGCTGTGGCCCATCTCACCAGCACTTGTTATCTTTAGTCTCACATGGTCTCACTATGTGGTCTGGAACTCACTGTATAGACAAGACTTACCTTGAACTCTACCTGTCTCTGCCTCCCAAGTGATGGGATTCAAGGTGTGGGCTCCCATGCTTGGAGCATTATTTAGTTTTCATCTTTTTGTTGTTGGTTTGGAAGAGTTATTTATACATTCTGGGAAAGTTCTTTGTCAGTGTGTTATGAATATTTTTGTGGGAAAATTTTCATTAGAAAGTTAATTTGTTTAATCGATATTTAGCAGATGTGGAAATGAAACTCAGTAGTGGTAACTTGGCTGCCATGATCCATCCCTAACACCCAAAATCAGACAAAAAGTGGATATTGTGGTAGTTGGATTTTTTTTAGTTCTTATATTACTTTTGTTAAGTTATGCATTTCAAAAAGATCACTTGCTTTATTTAAATTGTTAATTTTCTAAATGTCACACTTAATATCTCCCTATGTAATCTCTGAACGTGGGTGAGAGTTGGGGGGCTTGGGGAGTCTAAGGAGCTGCTGGCAGTGGAGCCAGTACTTATCCCTAGTGTACAAACTGGCTTTTTGGAGCCCATTCCCTATGGAGGGATGCCTTGCTCAGACTAGATATGGGGGAGGGCCTCAGTCCTGCCCCAAATAATGTGACAGACTTTGACAGTCCCCCATAGGAGGCCTCACTCTGTCTGATTGGTGGTTGGGATGGGGGTGGGGCAGGGTAAGTGAGAGGACTGGAGGGAGAGGGAACTGGGATTGGTATGTGAAATAAGCTTGCTTTAAAAAATTTAAAAATGTAGGTCTATAAATTCCCGATGTAAGAAATCTGAATTTTGCTTGAAGACTCTTGTTGGGGATTTTTGCCCTACATAAAAATTGTAAAAAAATGAAATTTTGATGATGTGGGTAGCCTCTGTTCTGATTTCAGTCCTATTTATTTGTTATCCCTTCTGCTTCCATGAAGCACAGCTGGTTTCTCATGTGTGATTTTCCTTTCTTTTGTAACAACCATTTCATAATTTTGGGATTCTTGCTGATATTTCTGCAACTACAAGTTGTGAGGCTCACCACATCTACTGACATGCATAAACACTCACAGAAAAATTGGTGCATGACATGCATAGGCCATCTGTCAAGGAGGAAATACAAGTTATCAATGAATGCATGAAATGTTTTAAATCTTATTAGTAATCAAAGAAATGAAAACTATAAAGGCAAAATAATTTACCACCTAACAAATTGACAATGACTTGAAGAAAGTGGATAGTACCTATAATGTTAAGAATTAAGGGAAATATAAGTGTTACAATGAGAGGATCTCCAAGTATCTATGCTTCAGAGATACGCACTGAAGCATGTGTGAATAACACTGTCTAGGAGACTGAACCCCAGCCTCCAGGTTCTGCACTGCCCAGGTGGAGTAGACACTTTTGATTTCACAGGGCGCAGTGAGACTGAGTAAGATACTTTACTCATGAGAACCTCCCCCCTGCTATCCTTTTCATGATGACAGAGGTAAACAGGTAGATGGGCAGATAGATACAGATAACAGATTTGTAGATATATAATAGACAGATAGCTGATGAAAGATGATATATTGAATAGATGGTAGGCAGGTAGGTAAAGAGATGATTGATGGGTGGATGGATAGGTGACAGTTGGCAGACACAGAGGATGTTCACTGATTGTGACAGTAAGTGACTCTGGGTATGTTGCCCACCTTTGTTGGTGATAGTTCTGAGAACTACTGTGGTAGGATATAGATTTGTTTTTCAAACGAAAGGAGCCTAAGTTAAACACAACATACACATATGCGTAGAAGAACCTACAATTGTGGGTATAACCGAGTTTCAATGATGATAAACAAGGTAAGACAGAATGATGCTTCCATGAAGATAACTTGAATATGATAATAACTGTTCATTGATAAGCATTAAAATCTGGTCCTTTGTGCCTATCATTTCCCCTAAATGTGCTCCAATTGGATGACTTCTAAGGTAAACTAAACTTTCAAGGAATGCATTGCTCTTGTCATAACTAAGTAGGTCAAGATGATGGGGAAAGGTCCAGATTGTTGTTGTTGCTTTTTAAACTAGACACCGAAATTAGGAGAGAATATGTACACAAATTCTTAGAAAAGCTGAAAAAAAATCCCAAAATAGTACACAAAAGGCCAAACAATGAAGTGAAAGATCCCCATCTTGCTTCCTCCTGTGATGATGCTGATGATTAGTCTGATAATGCTTTTATTTCATTAAACATGCGTACTGTATCCCCTGGAGAGAGATCCGAGTCTTTAAACTCACAAACCATGGCCAACTTCCTCCATCTCCTGTTAATGGGGAGCTGTTTCAAAAAGTGGGTGAAAGTTGATGTCGGGGCTTCTAGAGATCATACAAAACAGGAGAAATGCTGGGAAATTTATACAGAACTAACCACATCTTGTTCTTTTCATTTTGGATGAGCCAACTAAATTTTATTTATTGTTTTTCCCTCTTAGTCTCTCAATGGCTTTGCTCTGGTGGTGAGTGCAGAAGGGATGATCTTTTATGCATCGGCAACAATTGTGGACTATCTGGGCTTCCATCAGGTAAATGAAGCAAAAATAGCCTTTTGATATATTTAAATCCTGGCGTCCATGATGTTTGTAAATGTGTATTCTTTTCAAAGCTTAAGACTGTCTAAGATCAAGCTTTTTATGTCACGTGAGCCAGCTTTGTATTGGCAGCATGTCAACTTCAGTGGTGCCAGGAGACCCTGAGTAGGCTGAGACTCTACTCTCAACTTCTCATATGCAGAGAGCCATCTCATTTAATAACTCCATGTCTTAAACTCAAGATATTTAGTGTGTGCCAGACATAATTACTTTCAGAAATGCCTTTATCAACTTTGCAAAGTCTTCATTGGAGGAACAACCTAGCCAGCCCAGGCTATAGGATTCTAGCCCATGGGGCAAAGGGCTGGGGCCCTGATGCCTCAAGTACCATGCTCTGGAAGATGACTCATCAACAAACAGGTACAAGAAGACCTTCGACTCAAGGCACAGGAAGGAGTAAGGGAGCTTTTCCTGTTTAATCTCAGGAAGGAAGAAGCCTCAATAGGAAACCAGATCAAGTGAGAATTCAGATCTGTGTTACTGTGTGTCCTACTCTATACTGTGTAAAAACAGTACATTTCAGGCTGTGCCTCTCCCTGGATCACTCCATTTACAAGCAGTATTTGGCTGCATTTTGGGTGCAAATGCAAAGGCAGGTTATCTGTGCTCCTCACTGTGCTTGTAGACGTCATCACTTAACCAGTCCTGCCCACAGGCAAGAACTGGTAAATAACTTGATATTAAATATAAAAAATGTACTACCTATAAATATCAAAACAGAGTAGGAGCATATGAACATATGGGTATATAAAAACTATTACCAGAAAATCTAGGCCCAAGAACTTATTGAATACAACAGACTAAGGAAGGGTGCAATATTCTTACCTGATTGTAGTGGTCTAAATGAGAAATATCACCTATATGCTCATCTATTTGAACATCCGTCCCTACTTGGTAGTGCTGTTAGGCAAGATCATGGGAGACATGGCCTTGCTAGAGGAAGTATGTCACTGGGCGCAGCTTTGAGAGTTCATAAGCCTCACTCCATGTCTTAGGGTTCCTATTGCTGTGGAGACACTCTGACCATGCAGCTCTTACAAAGAAAAACATTTGGTTGTAGTGGCAGTTTACAATTTACAGTTCAGAGGCACAGTCCATTATTTTCACAGCAAGGAGCATGACAGCATGCAGGCAGACATGGTGCTGGCTACATCTTGATCAGAAGGCACCAGGAAGTGGACTGAGGTGAAGCTTGAGTGAAGGAGACCTCACAACCTGCCCACACAGTGGCATACTTCCTCCAACAAGGCTACACCTACTTCAATAAGGCCACTCCTCTTAATAGTGCCACTCCCTTTGGGGACCATTCTATATCAAACCACCATAGCCCACTTTCAGTCTGATTATCTCTGCTTCATACTTTTGGTTGAGGATGTGATCAGCTCCCTGGTCCTGCTGCTATGCCATGCCTCCTTGCCACGAAGGACTCGTATCCCTCTGAACTCTAAGCCAAAATAAATTATTTCTTCTGTAAGTCATTTTTGATCATGGTGTTTTCATCATGGCAACAGAAAAGTAAATGATACACTTGGTCTCCATAAAAAGGACACCTAATATTATAAAGGTGATCACCCTCCATTTACTTGTAATCTGATGACCTGGTGTGTGCATCTAGGGACTAACAGAGAACTCCTAGTTATCCTCAGAGCTTCATCTCAGCTTGGCTCTCTCTGCTGGCTCAGATCGACTGTCTGCTCACCCACCTTTCCGTTTGTCCAGCATCCATCTGTCCACACGAACCCAGTCTTGCACCTCTCCTCTGTGCTCTCCAGGCTCCTCTGCCTTGCCTGTGCAGCTCAACTCAGCTTTCAGGTCCAGCTCCGTCCTGCCACCCTGCCTGGCTCTACACACCTTCAGCAGCTGTCCAGCTGGGTTGTTAATGTTTTATACATGCACTGAAGAAATTTTCTTTCTGCCTGTATCAGCAGCCGTTTGCCTCTGCATCTGCCTCCAGTAAGGCCTTTGTTGTAAAGGGAAGCTTTTTCCTTGAGAGGAGCCATTCCGCCAGCCTGGTTCTAGAGCCACATCAGTCCCAAATAAACACACAGGATGCTGTATTAATTATGAAGCTGTTGGCCTTGCTTGTTTCTTCCTGGCTAGCTCTGACTTAAGTAATTACCCCATAATTGTTAATCTAAGTATTTCTCTTACCGGAGACGTTCCGGACTTCTTACCCCATGGCGGTTACATCTTGAATTCTCCTGTGTTTCTCCCTCCCAGAATCCTAGTCCCACCTATCTAGATTCCTATTGGCCAACAGTGCTTTATTAACAAATGTACAGGACTTCCCCCATCACTTTGTAAACTTAAACTCCTTGAATTTTTCTGTGGCCTCTTTAACACTTTTGTATCCACTCTGTAACATACATACATACAGACAAACAGATAGACAGACAGACAGAAAGAAAGAGAGATGACAAACAGATTTGCTGTGTGATGGATAATGTTGATTTAAAAATTAGTATTAGTAGTAGGAGACATAGACAAATGGACAGACAGAGGATAGATGATAGAAAAATTTACTGAGTAATGCATGTTTGAAAGAGAGTTAGTAATTAAGATAGAAATAAAAGAGCCCATGCTTTTCACTTGTCAATTATCAAGGGAAATTGGAACAATTTGGAAAATATCAGCCAACAAAACCAACATAGTTCATGAGTTTTTTATTCAGTTCTGACATAAGAAAAGCCACAAACATGCCTGTTTAAGTTTCCTACATAGTACATTCATTACAATGACTACACAGTAGGGATTCCTATCTGGAAACTAGCACAATGCAGGCAAATGAACTCATGGGCTCACCAATGAAGCAAAATTTGCAGTGGCAGGGTGGGGGGGTACTTCAGGTTATTCAACAGGCCACATCACAAAAACATCCCCTCTGAAGATGAGCTCACAAGCACATAGGAAGCCAAGCCATGATGACAAGTATAAGCCAGCAGATAATAAATGCACGTAGTCCCTCCTAGAAGAACATAAGAAGAACAGACCCCCCCCAAAGAAGCTAGGAAATAAACATATCTAAAATAGCAAGGGACCAAGTATAACAGTGCGTGTTTTTTGTTTGTTTTGCTTTGCTTGTTTGTCTTGGTTTTTCGAGGCAGGGTTTCTCTGTATTGCTTTGGAGGATGTCCTGGAACTCACTCCGTAGACCAGGCTGGCCTCAAACTCACAGAGATCCGCCTGCCTCTGCCTCCTGAGTGCCGGGATTAAAGGTGTGCGTCACCAACGCCTAGCTAACAGTGCATGTTTTTAATCTCAGTACACAAGAGGCAGAGATCTGTGAGTTTGAAGCCAGCCTGGTCTACATAGGCAGTTCCAGGCCAGCCAACACTACACAGTGAGACTCTGTCTCAATAAAAAGAGGAAGGGGCTGAAGAGATGGCTCGGCAGGTAAAGGCACTTTCTGTTAAGGTTGGCAATGTGAGTTTGGGGTCCACATAGCAGAAAGAGAGAACTGACATCTACCGGTTATTTTCTAATCTCCACATGGACATTTCCCATCCTCACACGTGATGAATAAATGCATGTAATGAAATTGAAATAATGAAAGCTTTAAAATGGGAAAAAAACAAATAGGACTTTCAAAGTGAAGAAGATAGTATATCAGCCAGAATTGGTTCCTTGTCCCTGAGATGGCACCAACTCCTGGGGCATCCTGAGGCTTTATTGAACCATTTCTGCCTCCGGCAGACAGAAGCTGTGCAGTCATCTCATTGTTTAATACAAAGAATTTGTGTCATCTGCATAAGAAAGCATTGAAATCGAAAAGGAAATAGTCTTGAGGTTAGCAGTAGCAGTAAAAGAGCTCTGAGAGCACTCTGAGTGCAGTGGAGGAGCAGCAGGAACCCAAGGGACCCAGCTTGGGAATCCCTGCAGTGTGAGAATGAGAACCTCAGGGTACAGTGAAGCATGGCTCTGGGCGGTGGAGGAGTTCGCAGAGGGGTCAGACTGGCCTGACCAGCACGAAGAAAGTCTCTGGGTACTTATCTGACTCTGAGGTGCACCTGCAGAAGGAGACGGTGCTATCCCAGCTTCCTCAAACAGAGTAGATGCTCCAGAGCTGGGGTTGATGAATGGATGGTGATGTGGAACATCAAGCCAATTCATAAAGTAATTAAAAACCAAAGCTAAATAGAGCCAACAACAGTGAAAACCAAGATCTGAGAGTGGGTTCTTGACACGTTGTCAAAATTAAAATTCATCTGATAGAATTATCACTTAATATAATTTTTAAGAAAAAATTAATTTTAACAGTTTCCCAGAACTGAAATAATATGAAAATTTCTTATGCCCACCTCACAGTTTAACTTACTGTCACCTGGGCTGAAAGCCAGAGTCCCTCAGAAAAAGAGATACTATGACTATCAGGGCTTATCTTGATATGATAATTAGCTATCCTTTGTCATGAAAGACGGTTAATGGTAGCACACAAACATTGTCCTTTTTACCCCTGGGCAGTATCTCCCCCACAGTCTCCATCATTGGACTTGGGTTGGCCTGGAAGCCTTGTAGAAGACCCCAGGGGACGGTGGCATGCAGTGAGGGATGAAACTGACCAGCTGAGTGGGACAGGATGGGGATGCTGGGCTCGGCCACTCAGCAGTTGTGTCTCATTCCCTTCATCCATGCAGTTGACAACTGCTGTTTACCTTTGAAGCTGCTGAGAATGTGTAGCGAAAGTCCCAGGCACCTAGAAAAACAGTGCCCCTGCCATACGAAGCACCTGCATTTCTTCATCTATTCTCAGTGGCCCATGATACCTCAGGTTGGCCGAGTACAATCTCCATGGCCTGGTGATTCAGAACTTCCATTTTCCAGAGATGAGCCTGGTCTTGAGGGAACCTTACAGAAGAGCACTGAGTCAGTCTCTCCTCCTTGAGATGACAACAGCTCCCAGAGAAGACTGAGGTCTGCTTGAGCAATTTCATTTCCTGAAGTAGACTCCACCAACTGTGACTTGTTTGCAGCATGGAGATACTGTGCATTATTTGCCAGACTTCAGGTGCCTCTGCTTAGAGTCCCAGTGCCCTGGATAGTGCAGAATTTGGGCATGGAGGTGGCATGATTCTTACATTAAAATAGTCCCCAATATAGTCTCTTTTGCTCGTGTGTGTAGGATTGAAGGCTAGAGACAACTGCTACCTTCTACATGTTCAGAATTACTTAAATTAATCCTTGTATGTGAGTAGACTATAAACACCTAGACCTTATCCCCTTATCCCGAACAGATGGTCTCACTACAGAGTTGGGTGTTAACAACAGAGGCACTGAAATACAGAGTGGATTATATTCAAGGTTAGAATTTGCTTGCTGGAATTTTACTTATTAGAGCTCCACTATTTCTCTTTAACTGTTAGAAGTATAAATCAGTTTTCCCTTCATTATAGAAAATGTTTCCATTGACTTTATGCAAAATATTTCACAAAAATGTTACAATAGCTTGTGATCTAGGTAGCATTTTGTATCAAATGCTTTACAAAAGTCAACAGCCAATTCCTTCCCGAGGAGGCTGCCCGAGTATACTGTCCAGCTTCTTCAGATGAGCACAGCTGTACAATTTAGGCCTATGATGCTTATTTATTCAGGAAACTTCCTCTTTCCTCAGCAACCTGTAGAAGCTATCACCAAGTGAACCAGAGCATCACAGCGCAATGATCTGAGCAAGGACAACTGTCTATGGCCATGTAGTAGATGCATACACTCTTTGCCCAAGAAGGCAAAAATGACAGTTGCCGGATATGTAACTTGTAAAAGACAGTCTTGCCGCTGTCTCATATTGCATGGAGAGTGGCTTGAAACAGAAATAAAAACTACTTCTCTAGGTGACAGCAGTATCTAGTTTTTGTGTCGTCTTTGCCCCTTCTCACATTTCTTCACATTACTTCTCTTGGCTTTCCTTTGTGGCATCTTCTCTAGGAAACCTTGAAGGACAAGGGGCCACCACACTTGTGGCATTAGTTATTAAAACAGTGATTTCTTTCTTAAATCTAAAAATATTTCATGTTTTCTTCTAATTTGTCATAGAAATATATGGCTATGCTTTGTCCTCTCTTCTGGCTTTGCTGCCTCTTCCCCTGTCTTGTCTGCCCTTTGCTCTGGTTAACTGCAGACCCACGGCTCACGTTAACCTAGATATACCCCTTCACTCCCTAAGGCATGTAGAGATGATAGATGCGAGTCTTGGGAGGCCAGTGGACACTGGAAACCACTCTCTCCAATGGCTCTACAAAGCTCGGGGTCATAAACAAACAGGTAAAAAGAATATGTGTACTAGAGCACCTGATAGCACTCTCACTCTGAGGATCATGGGAGCCCACTGTACCCAGGTCAGCAGTTTCTCTAGTTACAATCTTGTAAGGAAGTAGCACTGCCCGAAACATGATGAAAACAAGAAATTAACTCAAGGCTGGTCTAAATACATGGTGAGATATACCATACCCTGAAGATTTGTCACCATCATGAAGATGTCAGTCTTACACAATTAATGGGATTACAGTAGAAGCAGATGCACTTTGGGTGAACATTGGCACTCTAATTCTAGAATCTTCATTGACATGCATGTGCCAATAGAATAGCATTCCTAGGAGAGGAGGGGGTTGCCAGATGGCAAGGAACAGGTTTCTCAGGGACTAGGCGTTAAGTGTGATAGTGCAAGTCAGGCAGACCCACAATCAGCACTGCTCAGAGACTAGTGGCCTGGACCTATGAAAACATCCACTCCTGCAGTCATCCAAGTCAGAGAAAACCATTGTATCTCCTGTTTGTATCATACTTAGAGCAAATACCAGGGGGACGACAGATGTTTGTAGAGAGAGCAAGGCAAAGATAGGAGGAAAGAATGGCGGCTACATTATAAAATGCCAGCACATGGAGATGATGTTGTCACACAACGACCAGTCTACAGCTGTGATACTGGGCAGAATGATAGATCCCAAAGAATCCAGCATTCCTTTGGCGTGGGCTTCAACCTGTGTGTATAATGCGAATCATAATTTATGGGTATCCCAAGAGGCTCCAACATCATTCTTCCTAAAATGGGGATTTTCTCTACTCAGGTCTGTTGTTCTTTGCTGCAACTTCGGGCAATGAAACCCAATCCACCAAACTCAGCAAATCCACATGGAGTTTATTGGGAAAGGAAGCAAAGGGAGGGGTAGGTGTTAGCAGATCTGGAGCAGAAATGGAAACAGAAAGAAAACAGGCAGGAGGTGCCTGCTTATAAAGGGAAAGGGAGCGGTTTAAAATGAGTTTCAGCAGTTGGGGCTGTTGAAACTGGAGTCATGGAGCTGCTGTTGGCCAAGCTCCCCAGGTCCAGTTCCACACAGTTTCTGCATGCAGAGTCCTCTTGCAGTCACCTAAGGCATGCACGATGCAGCCCTGCAACCTTTGACAGCCTTTGAGCTGTCAGCGAGGAGCAATCACCTGTCAAATATAGATCCAGAGGCAAGGGAAGGTTGCCCGGAGAAGAGCAATCCAGGGCAGGAAGAGAGCCCAAGGATTAGGGAGCTCTGCGATTAGGAAAGGCTCCCCAAGGAGAAGGCGCAGGCCCAGGAGAGGGCTGGCGCAGAGTGACAGGTGGGTGCTAAGGAGAAACCACAGGCCAGGAGGAGAGGAGTTGGGAGCAGGAACAGGGCCAGGTTGCCCAGGACCTGGGGGGAGAGGGAGAAGCCAGGATATCAACTAAGGAACTTTTCCTCATCTGAGAAGAGTATTCTAGTTATTATAATCATTCATTTGGAAAGGATGAAACCTAGAAATAGGCATAATATGAGAACCTAGTAGACATGCTACAGGACCCAATGGCATTAGTAAGATGGGCTCCCAGTGCAAAGAATAAGATAGATTCCTCATTAGGAGGATGGTAAGGGTCATAGGAGACCTATCCAAGTTCATTAACTACCTGTACATGGAATAGTCAAAACCTAATGTCAACCTTTGCAAGCCAAAGTTTCTGCTCTGTCCACCAGACAGCTACCAGAGGACTCCAGTGCCTGAAAAATTTGGCTTGCTCTCAAGTGTGATTTTCTTTAAGGAGGTTAGAAGAAAGAGGACCAGAGTGAGGGCCATGATCCGGTGCATCCTAGGCACATCATGGACCTGGGTAGATTGAAGTATGTGACACAATTGGCATGAAGTACCAGAGTTGATTTGGGAAAGAGGACAACTCTGCCTAAGTGTCCATGGCTTTGAGGACGTGATACCACCATGCAGGCCAGATCCTGGGGGCCAGAGAGGGAAGATGCCCTGAGATGACGTGAGCATGGAGGCACACCCTTCAGGGAGGGCTCTTGGAGCCTCCCAAAGGTCTGTCTTTTTCTCAAAGCCTTTTCTTTACATATGTGGATTGTCTTTGAATGCTTGATGTGGGGATCCCGTGGTTCTTAATCCCCAGAGCATGTAAATTCAGGATGCGGCTAAAGCAGCTGCTTCTGTGTTTCAGACAGACGTAATGCACCAAAACATCTATGACTACATCCATGTGGATGACCGACAGGACTTCTGCAGACAGCTACACTGGGCCATGGACCCTCCACAGGTGGTGTTTGGACAGTCCCCACGTGCCGACACAGGTGGGCCAATTTCAATAAGATCCACATTTTTCTCTATATCTACATGGAATTTCTTCCAGGATTCTGCTTTCCTTGAACCCTCCTCCATACTCCTTCATCCAGGAGTTAGTCCATCCTAGACTCTATGTGGCTACTGAGGGTCTTGGCACCATCCTGCTTGCTCCTGTCTCCTCTGCTTTTCACTAGGGCAGGTACTTGGGATACTCAGCTCATAGAGAGAAAAACATTATTTTGTTTCATAGTTTGGAAGGGTTCCATCCATTAACTGTGGAACCTTTGCTCTTTTGCATTTAGTGAGCACATTCTAGTATGAGTGTCTAGTAAGGCAAAATCCCTAACTGGCCTCCAGCTCAGAGAGGAAAAAGAAGGGAATTGGGTCCACATTAGTTTCTTTTACTGTTACTGCAACAAAATACTTGACAAAAGCAGCTTAAGGAAGGAAGGGTTTATTTCTGTCACTGTTGGAAGATATAAACCATCATAACAGAAGGAGCGTGAGGTGGATGGGCACCCATGGTTAGGGGCGGATGGTAGTACTCAGCTCTTTTCCCCTTTTCATTCAGCCCAGGACTCAGGGTCATGGGATGATATCATCACATTTCACACAACTAATACAGTCTAGAAACTCCCTCACAGACATGCCCAGAGCTGTGTTTCCTGAGTTAATCTAGAGACTTTCAAGTTGATGATTAAGGTAATAATCACAACTCTACCCCTTGTCATGTTAACACCCAAACGTATCACTTTAAATTGTAATAGGCTCCCTAGCACATGCCCTAAAGCCTCTTGTAAGTTGCACTGCCATAGGCTGGGGTCCATGGGCCTTTGGAAGATACCTAAGATCCAAACTCCAGGCTCTGCCATATTTGGTGTTTTCCAACACCCCCTAAGAGCCAAAGAACTTATCACTTGTTTCACAAACTCTCAAGCCCATTATCTGCTTTGGACATTTAACTGAGAATCAAAAACAAAACCTTGCCCAATAGTAGTTGTCCTTCCATGCACTACAACCCTGTAAGTCACTCCCCAACAAATCCACTGTATCCAGTTGATAACGATGAGCTGTGCACGGAGTATTTCCATAAGTAGTAGGTAACAGTGGGTTTGGAGGAGACAGATGAATGTGGGTTCTGGATTTCACCCAGGAATTCATTCAGATGATGGTTTCATACAGAAACTTTAAAAATTCAAGGAAAAATTTCCACCCAACCTCAACATTCAACAGAATAATTAATTCACTTTAGACCTCAGGTGCCTCAAACAACACGGAGCAACAAACCTTAGTACCACAGGCATCAGTGCTAAAAATCAATGTCATTAAGGGTAGGGCCAATGAAAGCAAAACCCGTCAAAAGCACTGTCTCTTGGAGACACAGGGGATGGCAAAGGCTTGGGGGGAATCATGGAGAGATGTGCATTCTAAACGGGGTGGCATGTTTGTTACAAGCTTCATGGAAGCCAGTTACATGTTCTCCCGTGTGCTTATCCACTGTCTTCATAGCTCTAGTCTGTTGCTTATCAGCCCGATCAACATGTTTTATTTTGCATTATTTGAACTTTCTTATCAGACAACACCATCCTTGGGAAGTTGCTCAGGGCCCAGGAACGGGGCAAAGGCTTGCCCTCAGAATACTCGGCCTTCCTGACACGCTGCTTCATCTGTCGTGTTCGATGCTTGCTGGACAGCACCTCTGGCTTTCTGGTGAGTGGGTGCATGCCAGGGACATGTGAGGTACATGTGCAGAAAAGGTGGGGACAGAGTAAACACTGTGTGGAGGCTCTGGACAAAGTAAGCCAGCAGAGCTGGACCTTGGCAGCCTCATTCATCAGTAGACTGGAGGAAATGACATAAGACCCTGGAGGGTTCTAAGAAAAGTAGATGAAATATTTAAAAATTCACAATTTTCAATTCGATTTATTTAAAACTCATTTTAAAAATCTTTTCTAGGGCTGGAGATATCATCAATAAATAGGGCACTTCCCTAGCATGCACAGAGTCCTGGGTTTGATTCCCAGTACCACATGAACTGTGTATGGTGGCTCATACTTAAAGTTCCAGCAGTTGGGAAGTAGGGAGATCAGAAGTTTAGTTATTCCCAGTTACAAGGCCGGCCAGGGGTGCATGACACCTTGTCTCTAAGTAAATAAATAGGCATTAAAAATAGGGCTGATGTGATTGTTCAGTGGGTAAATGTGCTTGATGTCAAACCTGACCACTGAGTTTGATCTCTAGGACTCATATAGTGGAAAGGGAGAGCTGGCTCTTGGAAATCATCTTCTGGTCTCCACATGTGCACCGTGACACGGCTGAGACCACAGTTTTGGCTGCAGCCCTTCACCCCTACAGCACTTAGGTTTCCACCATTTTAAAAATGTAGTGATTTTTCTTTATTATTTTATTAGTAGACTTACATAATTTTATTATTTTATTTGAGTGTTTAGCCTACATATATGCATTACCTTGTGCATGTTTCATGCCCATAGAGATCAGAAGAGGGCATCGAATCCCCTGGAATTGGAGTTAGAGATAGCTTTGAACCCATATTCATTCTGGGAATTGAACTCAGGTCTTCTGCAAGAGCAATGTGTGCTCTTCACACCTAGCCATCTCTCCAGCATCTCTCCAGCTCTAGGTTTCCACTTTTTACACTTTTCCACCTCATACGGAGGTGGAAGACGATGGAGCCCCAGGAGTCAAGCCCTGGGGGCTGCAGATCCTTGTAGAGCATCCACCAAAGGCTGGGCTCTGCACGCTTGAGAAAGAGCCCTAAGGAAATCTGTGTGAAATCTACTTAGAGTCTCAGTATACCCTCATGTTCTATCACAATTTGTGGAGTGTTTTTTCCAATTCACACCAGCTTCACCCAGCTCTGTTTCCATGGCTCTGCGAGCTACCCCCAAGCTGACATTTCAGACACAGGATAGAAGATCTCAGAATTGCCTTCCCTCCACCCACTCAGTCCTTCCCAGACAACTCACAGGGAAAGGGGTCCACAGCAGCTGATAGGCCAGGGGCTTTTATTATCACTAGCCTTTCCTTGTTCATTGTTTGGTTTTGTTTTTTTCATAAACAGTTGTTTTAAAAAATAAAGATGTTAATTACATATAATGCCAACTCAGTCCTTCAGAAGAGTAGAGAGGGAAAACCAGAATGTTCCTTCCTACTAACACTCAGCTTCTAGGCCCACAATCCATACCTGAGGCTGTCCTTATCTGGCCCCTTCTGCCTAACCTCACTGTAAGATCTGCTTGGGTGGAAAGAAAAATTCATTAAAAGTACCAAGTCAGAGAGTCAAAGAAGCCTCTGACTCAGAGTCGCAAGTCTCGGTGTCAGAGAAAATAGCAAGAGGTGGGAGAAGCATTGCTGGTTTTACAGTGGGAAGGCAGTTTAGAGTAGTGGGGAGGAGGTTTGTAGGGCAGAGGAGCCTGGGGGCTTTGATATGCTTTATAGGTAAGTGTTAATAGGGACCTGTCTTAGGGTTACTATTACTATAATGAAGCACCATGACCAAGAGCAAGACAGGGAGGAAAGGGCTGATTTGGCTCACACTTCCACATGTAGTCCATCACCGAAGGAAGCCAGGACAGGAACTCAAACAAGGCCAGAACTTGGAGGCCGGAGCTGATGCAGAGGCCATGGAGGGATGCTGCTTACTGACTTGCTCACATAGATTGCTCATCCTGTTTTCTTATGGAACCCAGGACTGCCAACCCCCAGGTAGCCACACCCACAATGGGCTTACCCTCCTACATCAATTATCAATTAAAACCCCCACAGGCTTGCTTACAGCCCATCCTATGGAGGCATTTTCTCAGTTGAGGCTCCCTCCTTTCTGATGACCCTAGCTTGTGCCAAGTTAGCATAAAACTGTCAGGGACAGGACTGAAAAGGCATGAAAATTGGAGTGGGGATTTTGATATGTGTTACAGATATGTGCTAGTAGGGAAAAGATAAGGGAGGTCATGGCTCTTTCTGACAGACAGAAATGCTGAGCGTAAGTGTCTGTTTATTGCTAGCAATCCTTCTGTTTACCTGGTCAGAGTCCAACTTGAATACTGTCTATTTGGGGATTGAGACCTAACACCTTAGATTGACTTTGCCCAGTGATGGTAGCTGAACATGGTAACAATTCAGTTTATGGCAATACTTAATTCTTTGGCCATTTATCAGTGAAATGGTAGCTGACTCCTGACCCCAGATAATACTCTATTGATCATTTCTGCCTTTGATAAATCAACATCATCATTATTGGCTACAACAATGAAAAATTGATCCTTAGCAAGTATAGTTTTGGATCATGAGACCCAAGTGAACAGGAAAGAAAATGCTGAAGCACAATGGTGAGCCAGCCTTCCTGGACTTCAGGTGTAGGTCGAGCCTTACATGTCCCACCCTGGCATGTTGTCCTGCCCATAGGGCTCCAAGCAAAAGAGTTCTGCCCATGATTCTATGCTTAACACCATAAACAGGATCACTCGTCTTCTATCTGAGCAATCAATAGCTAATGAAGGTTCTTGTTCTAATAACATTTCACTCTGAAATCTAAGTGTGTTGAGGGAGTCATTATTATAAATTCTCTTCATGAGAGAGGATCTAACTATATAATAGAGCAGAGATAGACTTAGAATAAAACTGAAACAAATACCAAATAGAGGAATTAGTTTAATTTTACACTTGCAATAATGTCTACAGAAATAAATGTCTTCAGCAGGTGACCTGCTGAGAATTGAACCAGTCAAAATTCCAACATGATGGAAAAGGGGTTCAGGAGGTCCCCACCCCTTGGTCAGGAGCTATTGGCAAATTGATGGCTGCTAGGATAAAGCAGGTCATTTTTCTTTGTGAGCGTAATCACTGGCAGGTGGCCCATACTCTACCGGTGGCTCTATACCCATGTGCATATCATGTGCACATGGGGCGCACTAATTGAACTTACTGGGTTTTTTTTAAAAAATGAAAAGGATATGAAGGGGAAGGAGACATATTGGGGAATGGGGGAGCTAACAGGGAGATTCAGGATTGATATAATCAAAATACATTTTATATATGTATTAAATTCTCAAATAATAAACTAAAACATAGCTAAAAAGAAATAAGTGTGATTTATTCTTCCTTTCAAATCTCTTGTCCATACCGATTCACAAAGAGCCACTGATACGGGGTTAATTTAGGCACTCATAGTCCCTTTCCACTTCATCCCAAAGTCTAGGAAGGGATGGGGAGAGTGCTGCCTGCCCAGGATCAGTTGTTAAAACATTGAGATCTGATTGATCTTATATCAATCATTCTGAGTTAGCGGGAAACTGACAAACACTGCAAATCTAGAATTGTTTTCCTTAGAGCTGGGCACTGAGCGCTCCCCAGTACACCACTGCCTAAATTTCCCCACATGTATGTGACTGACGCTTAGTGGATCCTTGCAATTGTTCATTCCACAACCCATGAATGTACTCAGGCATGGGTGAGTGGATGGGCTGAAAAGAAGAGAAGAAGGTTGGAGGAAGAGAAGATAGATGCATAAAAGGATAGAGTCCGTGCTGCTAGGTCATCTGAAGTCAGGAAAACCCTGAAGGAACTTGGGAACTAATTCAGTGATATTGCAACCTTTCCTATATAAAAAATTATGTTTTAAATTTTCTTTTGTCACAAATACCTAAGCTCTCTGCTGGCACTTAAACTTATACTGTATATTCTAGAATAATGAAATCAAGCTGTCCTCATCTTCTCATTGAACGTGGGGAATGCTAATTTAGAAATTAGCAAAGTTAAACCTGGATCAGCTCCCAGGGAACTTTCCACGGAACTCCTGCAAATGATGGCTGAGGTATAGGTCTATGATAACTCAGGTAGATGTGTACTCATGCTTGTCTATACACATACGGGGGGTGGGCACGTGTCAATATGTGCATGGGAGAGATTATGCTCTCCATAAAGAGTCTTGAGATTGCCAGTAAAGGAACTGTAGCCCTAGGGCAGAGCGCCACTAAGGTAGGGGAGGCAGGTGTCTCCTAAAGTCTTAGGATGCTGATGGTATTGCTACAAAGTTACCTTCACGACTCTGTGAACAGCCGTCTTTCTGTCTTTAAAACACCAGACTATGCAGTTCCAAGGAAAACTAAAATTCCTGTTTGGCCAGAAGAAGAAGGCACCATCAGGAACAGCCCTGCCCCCTCGGCTCTCCTTGTTTTGCATTGTGGTGCCGGTCCTGCCTTCTGTGGCTGAGATGAAAGCGAAAAGTGCCTTCCTGAGGGCGAAGCACAGGGCAGACATTGTGGTCACCGTGGACTCAAGGTGAGCATGGACTGTCACGTCATGACCTTAACTTGTGACAGCAAGATGCCCTACATGTAGTAATTTCTGTTTAATTCTTCCCGATAAGTAATACACATGAAGTCTGATATTTTAAAGCCCTTACACAATGTACCCCATTACTACTAGAGAAAAGTATCTTTTCAAAATTGATGCAAACTGTAGCACCATGAGCTTCCATGGCAACTGCTCTAAAGCTGTCCTTAACCTCTAGGCTCACGGCTTTGCCCCAGAGAGAGGCCACAATGAGTCGGTCACCTGTATGGTCCCTGCCTCCTCCTCAGTTCGTTGGTGTTGGGAACAACCCAGATAGATATTTAGCCAGCACACGGAAGGTTAGTGTCAGGACTGTGCTGGCTTTCTAGGTCCTGGCAAACTGAGTCCCTCATCTGACCAGCTCTGTGGCATTTTCTCAACTTTTGAGAGTAGAAAACACTCCTAGTTTTCTGGGCCGTGTCTATGATGGATTCTTGGATCCATTCCCTTGAGAGATTTAAAATGTTATGCACATAATGCTATTTTCTACCTGGCATAGTGACATGGGAGTAAGAGGTCAGAGGGAACTGGGAGACAGGGATGCCTGAACTTGACTCCTGTTTTGTGACATTCTTCTTGGAGAGACATAAACAAATGTCTACTCACCCGAGATGGTGAACTAAAGACAGACCAAAGTATGGACAGCACAAAGTCCAACTTGGTAAGCTATGAGTTTTATTAGGGTTGCTTATAGGAATGTGGGTGAGACTTACAGGAGCAGAAGTGACTCAAAGACAGCGTCATCACAGTGGCCCACCCCAGCATGAGTGACAGATGACAGAGACCGGAAACCTGGAGCACAGTGCACAGCCTGCAGGCAGCACAATAGGTTGTGGAGTGGGCTTTCCTGGTGCTCTGTTGGTCCGAGCCTTTCCCAGGCAGTGCAGCTTCTCTGAGGGGCTTCTAGGAAGTTTGGCTTGAGAGACTCTCAGCAGTTTTTGCTGCTTATACACTCTTGGGAGATGCCTAGTGAATCTGTTCAGTTTCAGGGACTGTCCTATCTTAGTGATCTTTCCTGAAAGATGGAGAGTTTTACCTTCCTTAGGACAACTTGTTTTGCCTCATTTCTCTGCGAACATCCTGACATTAAATATTTCTTTTACATCCTATGTCTTAAGGAGTTTCTCTAGGAGGAAGCTGCTTCACAGTAATTTTCTACATAGATTATGGGCAACACTTTCTCCGGTTCCACTATAATAGCAGTAGTAAAACAAAACAAAACAAAACAAAACAAAACAACAACAAAAAACCCTAATTCCCAGACACTTGTATGTCCTTCAGCGACTAAAGCAGAACCAAGCTTGTCCACCTCCCCGCTCCAGAGCATACTAAGGTCTCAGGCTATAGTTGCATTGTTAGCCAAGACAGCAGTCTTGGAATAAATCGTGAAATCTGAGATGGTGCCTCCATCTATTTGAAATTGAGCTAGGAGTTTCAGCTGTAACCCTGAACCTGAGCCATGGTACTCTACTCATGGAGGCAGATGTGAACTCTTCTCTGACCCTAGTTGCTGGAAGAGTGCTGGGGAGGGGCCTCTGGGACCACCATCTCCTTATCCGTTTGTCTGCTTCACAGTGCAGCCTCCATGAGGGGAGTTAAAGGCCTTATCAGGCCATTTCAGGAGGCAGTGTCCATTCTACTGGCCTCCCCATCCTGACCTGAGGATGTCATGCCCAAAGCAGTGCCACTACTGAGTCCTTCCTGGTCCATGGGCTACTCTGTGATCTCTCTTGGGTCACTGGCTGAAAAGGAAGGGATCCTGCTTGCTCTGCCCCCGAACCCCCTATCCCATCTCCTTCCTGATTCTCAGGGAGGGTGAGGCCTTCCTTGGGGGAATCTTCAAAGTATGTCATATCATTTGGAGCAGGGCCTAGGCCCTCCCTCATGTGTCTAGGCTGAGAGAGTATCCCTCTGTGTGGAATGGGCTCCCAAAGTCCATTCATGCACTAGGAATAAATACTGATTGATTGCCAGAGGCCCCATAGATTGCCCACGCTTTCTAACTGACACACACGTTCAGTTAGAACAGTCCTATGCTGGTTTCCCAGCTATCAGTCTGGGCTCCATGAACTCCCCCTTGTTCAGGTCAGCTGTTTCTGTGGGTTTCTCCAGCCTGGTCTTGAACCCTTTGCTAATCACTCCTCCCTCCGTGAAACTGGATTCCAGGAGTTCAGCTCAGTGTTTAGCTGTGTCAGCTTTTGCTTCCATCAGCTACTGGATGAAGGCTTTAGGATAGCATATAAGGCAGTCATCAATCTTATTATAGGGGAAGGGAAATTAAGGTAGCCTCTCTGGTATTGCTTAGATTGTTAGTTGGGGTCATCCTTGTAGATCTCTGGACATTTCCCTAGTGCCAGATTTCTCTTTAAACCTATAATGGTTCCCTCTATTATGGAATCTCTTTCCTTGCTCTCCTCTATTCTTCCACTGACTCAATCTTCCTGCTCCCTCATGTCCTCCTCTCCCATCCTCTTCTCCCCCTCTCTTTCTCCTAACTCCCTCTCTCCTCCCCACATGCTCCCCATTTGTTCTTGTCCCTTTCCCCTTCTTGGGGGATCCATGTATGTCTCTCTTAGGGTTCTCCTTGTTTCCTAGCTTCTCTGGGGTTATGGATTATAGGCTGGTAATCCTTTGCTCTATGTCTAAAATCCATAAATGAGTGAGTACACACCATGTTTGTCTTTTGGTGACTGGGTTACTTCACTCAGGATGGTTTCTTCTAGTTCCATCCATTTGCCTGTGAATTTCAAGATTCCATTGTTTTTTTCCGCTGAGTAGTACTCCATTGTGTAAATGTACCACATTTTCTCTATCCATTCTTCAGTTGGCCTTTCTCCTAATGGGTTTGCCACCATATCTGTGACACTCACCTTTGCCTTCTGTAAATGATATGTGCAGTGTCTACCTGGCACTGAAGCCAGAGTTGCACCCCCATGGTCTCCTGAGTGCAGGGCATATGGAATTAGACTCCAAGGATGAAACTAGGGCTGAAGATAGCCTATGAGGTTCCCAACATGGACCAGCAAACTGAGAAAAGCAGACGTCTAAAACATTAAAAAAATAAGTTTGGATATACTCTCATTTTTTATTACAGAAACAGCATTTAAAATATAAGGGAAGAAAAGCAAGTCCAATGGGAAGAATACTTAAATGCCGTGGCCTAGCCAGAGCCCAGTGGTCTGCAGAGCCTAGTAGGAAAGGCATCTGTGTAAGGCAGGAGGAAAGATCAGTGTATAACAACCTCTAGGGGTACTCTGCCTTTGCTCATTGTCTGAGTTTTCTATTTTTAAAGGGTAATTTGGATTGTTTTCATCAGAGATTCCCACAAACTTTCTCTTTTCCAAATAGTTTTCTAGCCCCAAAGCAAAGCTCTGGGAATACTACTGCAGTGCTCAGAGCTGGGCCTGGAGAGAGACCTCCAGGGCACTCTGAAACCCAATTTCTGGTACCATTTCACTCCGTCTTTTAGGCATGGTGGGCACAAGATTGGGGACACCCCCTTTCAGGGAGACACCTACATAGATTTGTAGGATTTCTGAACACAGCAGCCCTACAAGTAGGTGCCATCCTATGCAAACTATTGAGACCCTTATGGAGAACCTGGAGTTCCGGACTCTGACCCCTCTGCCCTGACCTGAATTCAGAACTGCTGTCAGCAAGCGCACCACAATCCATTCCCTGTGGGGGCAGAGATAGTGGTGCCAGCCCTGAGAGCTGGCTCTGGGAGCAGCTGCTGCCTCTCACAGCTTTCTTACAAGGCTTTGTGCTGGCTGTTCCTCTTAATTGATTCAGCCTGCTGTGTTCTACCTGCTAACACTTATTTCAAATCCCTAAATCAACACTTGCCACAGTTTTGTCATTGTCGATACACAGTGGGAAAAGGATGCTTCTCAGAGAGTACACATTCCCGGCAGTGCCTCAGCAGGCCAGACTTCCCTCTCTCAGTCTCAGCTCTTCACAGACCCCAGGTACAAAGAGCACAGAGCACTCTGGACTGAGCTTAGTAGATAGAGTTTGAGGTCCAGCACTGGTACCCAGTAGAGGGGCGTCATCAGGTAAGCCACCTAAATTTCTCCTTCAAAAAGCAAAATGGCTCTATCAGGATGACTCAAAATTATTCTAAATAGTATTTAAGGGCAAAATCCAATACTCCAGTAGTCTTAGCAGGCCAGGCTTGGCCACTCATCCAGATATGCCCATTAAAGAGACCAGTAGTGATAAAGTAGAGAAGGCAGACATCAATGGTAGTACTTTTGAAACAGGAACATATGAAAGGGCCACATCTTTGGATCATTTGTATAAGCTTTTGGCTAAAATAGAGGCAGAACTGGGGTAAGGGTATGCTAAATTAAGCAGTTTCTGCTCCAGGCATGGTAATTTGGTTAATCATTGTTTTAGTTCTGGTTCTGCAGAGTGGAAATGGTTATTATTTCTTCAAACTACAGCCCCACTATCATGGGCGATCTGTCTTATGAGGCACCCCTGTTGCTGGAATCTAAGGTGTCTGGAGGTTTGGGGAAACAACTAAAGCCATTTAGTCACCTTTTGCGAATGTGAAACAGAATGCAATAAAAAGCTGTCAGTGAGATGCCTCCATTATTCTTATCTTTATGCCTTGAAGATGGATAAGATAGTGTGCTAGATAGTTTTATGTCAACCACAAGTTATCTGAAAAGGAGGGAACCTCAGCTGAGAAAATGCCGCTATAAGATCCAGCTGGAGGGCCTTTTCTTAATTAGTGATTGATGGGAGAGGACCAGCCCATTGTGGGTGGTGCCATCCCTGAGCTGGTGGTGGATCGTTGGGTTCTAGAAGAAAATAAGATGAGCAAGCCGTATAAGCAAGCTAGTAAACAGAACTCCATGGCTTCTGCATCAGCTGCTGCTTCCAACTTCCTGCCCTGCTTGAGTTCCCGCCCTCACTGCTGTCAATAACTGTTATACGGAACTGTGAGTGAAATAAACCCTATCTTCCACAAACTGCTTTTGGTCCTGATACTTCATCATAGCAATAACAACAAGAAATAAGACAGATAGAATAGGTAGCCCTAGTTTCTAGATAGATACTCCATGAATGATTAGCGTACCTATGTACATAGGTAAGCAGGTAGCCTAAATTTGTGAGCCCAAATGAGGAGTTTGGTTTTTAATAAAAACAACTTCCAAGTGCCTGTCATAACTCTCACCCAACCCCCACATACCCATATTTACCCTGGGAATAATGGCTTCCTGATCACTAATTCATTGTTACAGTGATTATATAGAACATGACTTCCTTGAATCACAGGGGTCAATGCATTTTCCTTCTGGCTTTCTGGAGGGGAGGAAGGCACAGTCTCTAAGAGCCGCCTATGTGCCATCTACCTCCCAAAGTAATTAACTAGCTTTGTATTGAACCCCAAATGCAATGTGCTTCAGATCTTCAGAAAAATCTCTGCAATATAAAGATTAAAAGGTGTAAGTTGTTTCTATGTTCTCTTGAGCAAATAGTAATACCCGTCTTGCTAATTCCTTTCATTGCCATATTGTTAATATACATTAATGTTGTTATCTGGTCTTCACAGGGCAAAAGCTGTTACAAGTCTGTGTGAATCAGAATTGCATCCCAAACCCAGTTACTTAGCAGGTACTTCTAAACCTTCATTTTCTCTTCTTTTCTCTATGGCAAGATGCTCTTGTACCTGAGAGAGTTCCCCAATGCCTACAGAACTCTGTGTATTCCCCAGAGATGCCAGGGTAAGCAGGGAGCACCACTGAGATAATTGCCTGCTGTTGTCACTCTGGTCCTGGTCACTGCTGAGAAAAATCATCTTGTTGTGACATCTCTCCCCTTTCTAAATTCCAACAGGAAGGAGCAACGGAGAAAATGGCATTTCACTGTTCAGGGGACAAACAGATAAGAGCCACTGGGCCCGGGCCCTAGCCAGGCCTTCATGTCTGTGCCTCAGGGGTGGTCCTGACCTCCTCCTGAACCCCAAGGAGGCTTCAGGGTAAGTGGTGCCTGGTTAAGTCACTGTGGTTGTCAGAGTTAAAGAGTTGGATAGGCATGGAGAAGAAATAGTAGCTGTAGCCCTGACACCTGTGTGCTTATAGACATCTCGGCCTAGGCCGCAAGCAGTCAGGGAGGAGTATGTTTGGTTCAGAAATCCTTTCAGGCCACAGCCCTCCTCTCACCGGCCACCTGCCACATGCCCGCCCTCTTGCCAAATCCTGACCAGGGGTCTCTACCAAAGTGGCTACTAGGTAGTAAGTACCCTCCTTATCGCTCTCCACACAGATGCTAGTCCTGAAGCCATGGTGTCCTGTAGTCAACCACAGGACTGTTCTTTTAGTTTGATAGTCACTACAGCTGATACAGGATACTCACCCATACCCAGTGATGGCTCCCTGGAGCAAGAACATCGTGCTGCCTGGGAGCCTAGGAGCCAAGGAAGGCTCTTCACTGCTCCCTTGGATTGACATAGGTGGTTGAGAGGGCCGATGTGTTCTGGGAAGACTTGAAGCTGCCCTTGGGATTTGATTGGTAGCATACTAAGTTGCCGTCCTCTCATAGAAAAGCTGGTGTGATGGGAGTTGTCCTTTTGTACATATGTTTCTCTTATTGATTGATGACTAAAACACTGATTGGCTGATTGACCAGGCAGGAAGTATAGCCGGGCTAGGAGATGAGGAGAATTCTGGGAAACATAGGCAGACAGAGTCGTCATGTAGAACCCAGGAAGAGAGGATGCACAAGGCATTCTCCTGTAAGTCAAGACCATGTGGAAGTACATAGATTGATAGAAATGGGCTAATAATTAAGACAGAACTAGCCAATAAGAATCCCTAGCCAATCGCCAACAGTTTTATGATTAATGTAAGTCTTTGTGTGCTTATTTGGGGCTAAGAAGGGTGTTGGGACCTGCTGGGCCAAGAGTCTCCTGTATCACTGAGGCCCTAAGGAGGTAAGAGTATCCCTTTTGTTACTATGTTCAATGGCTCTCCTTTCTCTGAAGGGACAGAGAAGAAGAGGACCAGAAGCATGTACCAAGGAGATCTACTGGTGCCCGGGGTCAGAGGGAGATGCACAAGTACAATTATGGCTTGGAAACACCAGTACACTTGAGGCACCTGAACTGGAGCACAGAACAGAGAGGTCAGGAGGTCACTACCAAGCTGACTCGGCAGTCCAGTAAAAATGAGCCATCCGCATGTCCAATACCCCATGGTTCCTGTATGCCCTACCATGGAAGCCAGGGCATGTTCAGTGCCAGCAATATGACTTCTTTCAAAGATTTACCAGATCATCCCACTGGTGCCTACTGCAGCCAAATGAACAGACCTTTGCAAGATATCCACCAGGGCCAGGTACATCCTTCTACCTGTCATATCCCTCAGGGCAGCCTGGGATCCAGGATCCCTCTGCCTGGAATGCAGCGCTTCACAGCCAGGGGATTTTCTACAGAGGATGCAAAATTGTCCAGCCTGCCAGTCACCATAGACACCCCATGTAATCCAGTATTGTCACTGGAAGTACCAATCAAGATGGAAAATGAATCTGGGTCCCAGGATATAGTTGATGCCAGCACAACTAGTCGGGTATGGCTGGGAGCTAGTGACATGGCCAGGAGACATCTGGTCAGTTTCCCTGCCAGGATGCACCTGAAAACAGAGCCCGACTATAGGCAACAGGTCTGTACCCCACACCTTGGGCATGGTATGCTGGTAGCTAATACCCACAGCAGAGACACTGTTGGATCCTGCAGGGAGCAAGCTCCTCTCCATCCTGCACATTGCACCTGCCTGGATCCAGAACCTCCTCATCACCTCTTCATGCGGGGCCACAGTGAGAACCAGCATCCCTCATTGGACCAAGACTGCAGAGCTCCAATTGTTAAGAGTGAGCCCCTGGATTCAGCATCATGGGTTGGTCCTGGCCAGGTGGCTGTGCCTAGGATGTTCCCTAAGAGTACCTCTATAAGTGTGATCCCACCCAAAGGCTCCGATGGGATTTTCCTACCCTAGAGCTGCTTCTCTACTGGAAATCTCAGTCCCTGGATGATGGGATATGATCAGAGATTCTTCTAGAAACACTCTTTACAGAACTCAATGAATGAGGATGAGATTTCCTGTGTGTAGCTGAGCAGTAGAGCATCCTGAATGATGTAATACATCAGGGGATTCTCATGCATAAACCCAAGTCTGTTCAGGTGGACAGTATTTCTCTTTGAAATTAAAGCGTTTAGGAAAGTAGTCTATAGTATTCAATGCTGGGCAAACCCAACTGATGTGTCAAAGTGATGTGTCCCTGGTGGCCAATCTTGCTACATCTCCTGTCTGTATGCAACAGGAGTTCTGAGGCTTCTGAGGAGATCTGAAGCCACACTTTGCACAGTGATAGTCAGGGAAACATCCCATCCCATCTGGTATTTTCTGTGGATTTCTGAATATGGTTATGTACCCGTGTCCCTGTGCACAACACATGGTGGAGGTTATAGTGTCCAGGCAAGGAACCAGGGAAACACAGCATACAGAGAAGGGTGAATCCATACTGTTGAGGAGGCATTGTCTCTGCCTGTTGTCTGCATGACTTTCAGGTAAGAGCAACAGTTCCTAGCATAGGGAGACTTAGGGGCAAGAGGGCAGCCAGTGTTTGTTTTGAATTGTAAAGGCAATGCACTCTGATTTTGGGAAATGTGGATATTAAATACAAAGCAGAAAGGAAGGGTTACCACGAACCATTGGTGAAATGGCTTATGGCAGGTGGAGCAGTTGCGAGTGTTACCGGAAAGGGCTGAGACCACAAATCCTGCTCCATTAGCATAGAGTCCTCTGAACAGGAAAAAACCTGCTGTGTGGTACATATAGTCTTCCTTGGGGATGAGCATCTGCCTCTGATGTTACTTTCCCTGAGGTCCTAGGAATGCTTGCTAAGGAGCTTTCGGGAGCCCATAGCTAATTCTGCTAGGTAGGCTCTCCAATACAGATTTTCTGTCCTTTATCTATGGTCCTAGGATATCATTGCCAGTCACTGTCTTAGTGGAGAAGGTGTCTGGAAAATACTATTGCCTTGTTAGAATCAGGTTGGGTGGGCAGGACCAGGTCCTCTGCTCTGCTCTTGAACTGTCTGACTCTCAAGGGACAGGGATACGAGTGAAGATCTAGAACTGAGACTACCTGCTCTGGGAGCCTGGGGATTTGTGTTCTCTCTGTTTCTCAGTCCACAGAGGCTTTTCAAAGGGGGGCAAGACAGGAGCTGTGCTGTCATGGATGTGAGGCATACTCATACCTTCTCTCCATCACCTAAAACCTGAAGTCAGAATGGTATCTCAGCTTTGCACCCTGCGCCCAGCCACCCGTCTCCTTCCTTTCTTTCGATTGTCCCAGTCCCACTTTACACATTTCTGTCGGGCATAGCTCACCCTGTGGGTATTAATGAATAGCAACAGGTAGAATCTGAGTCTTCCTCAACACTTCCTGTTCTAACCACATGCCCAGCTCCCAAGGACAGGACATGCTCAAACCACCCATGTGTCTGACACTCTAGTATGTCTCTCTGAAAGTAATTAGCTATGTTCCTATCCTCAGCCAGACTCAGCATCCTATATGCTTTCTATGCAAGGGTCAGAGAACACATTAGACTGTCGTGCTCCAGTGTATACAACATTTCCCAAGCATCCTGGAGCCAGTAGAATAAACCTGAGAAAAGAGATCAAAAAGAGGGAATTCAGAGATATATTTAAGCATAGTGGTGTGTACTACTCAAGTGGAAGATCAGCAGTCCAAGCCTACATGAGACCCTTCTCAAGTAAAATAAAATAAATGCATTATTACATACTTGCCATTTTAGGTAGATTCCCATACCTTGCTATGTCACCAGAGAGGAGCCATGCCCCCCACTGCTGAAGCCTGTATGTCCTCTGCTCAGGTACTCTGAACCTTTCAGATGTACCTCACCTGTACCTATGCTGGGATGAATTACCAAGTGAGGAGTGGAGTGTGGGCAGCTCAACAGGTCAGGCTTTATGTACACTGAGCTCTGCACTAGGATGTCAGTTCTACAGATTTTGTGTGTGGGAGACACCACACAACATGGCAAGCTTGGCTCCCTGGTGCCAGCACTGTCCATGGAAGCTCAAATCCTCCACATCTGCACTTACTGCTTCTCATTCATCACAAATCCCCAGTCAACTTGCACAGAAGGTGCACCATTGGGGAATGTTCTTCTGTGTATATTTTCATCTTATTGGTCGATGAATAAAACACTGACTGATTGGTCAGGCAGGATGATAAGTAGGATAGTAGACAAGGAGGATTCTGGGAAGTATAGGCAGAGAGGAGTCGGCATGTGATTCCAGGAAGTGACATAGTTGGGCAGAATCAGGATATAAGCAGGCACAAATAGGAAATTGTACTCTTCTCAGCGGAGACGTTGAGCCATCATCGAGTTGCAGGTCTGGTAAGCCAAACCATGTAGAATTATGTATAGTTATGGGTTAATAATTGAGTCAAAGCTAGCCCACAGGAACTCATAGCTAACGGCCAGCAGTACTATAATTAATATAAGTCTCTCTGTGTTATTTGGGGCTGACATGGCTTTGGGACCGGGCTGGTGGGAAGAATTCACGTTACAGTGCACAGAGGTTACTCCTGCTTTAGGACTTCACCATCCACACTAACTACAGGCTCACACTTTTGTGATATCTAGCTTTTGCCTATATGGCTAAAAAATATCAAATATAATGAGAGATGGGCTAAGAGGGAATAAATATAAAGTGTCCTTTATATTTATAGTTTCTACTAGAAAAAAGTCCTCAAGATCTAGACTGGCCCAACAAACTTTATAGATACACTACAATGCAGCTTTCTGTGCTGTTTTCTCAATGCTTTGTTTTGACAGAGAATCTAAATGCATTTTTCATACTGTGGTCTGTACTAAATTTGTAAAACTTGTGTAAAATAAACCTCATGTTTCCATGTACTTAGTGTAAGATTGTGTGCATTTTCCTCCAGAGAGTGTTTTGGACTTACATTCTAGGACAGCAGAATGGAATAATAAATGTAAAAGTAGAAAGACTGGAATTGAGGGCTGGGGTTGGGCCCTCCTCTGCTTTCGGTGAGGGGTTGGGACCCTCACATGCCCTCAGAACACCCAGACTCACACTGCCAATGAACAGTGAGGAAGGCATGACAGAGGGTTCTTTTCGTCCAACAATATTTTTATCATGCAATAGTTACATTTTAGACTTTTTTCCATATGTGTTGTTCATTTTGTATCTTCACAACATTCTCTGCCTGTGTTTTTTGACAAAACATAGACAATTTGATGCTGTCATTACCCACAAATTTTCTCAAATTTAATTGGCCATTGTGAGAAACTTCCTCCACTACTAATCCTTTTGGGGTTTTTTTTTGTGTGTTTTAAATTTTCTCTTGTAACAGTCTCACCATGATTAATCCATTTACTTGTGAGCACATTTCTACTTCCCATTCTGTTTTCAATTATTTATGGTCCAGCCTTCCTTTTCCCCCTTTCCCTGCTCACTGGAATACTCTGTGATCTCTCTTCCTTATTTCCTTTCTACTTGTTTGGAAGCAACAATTCTATATCCTTGGTGCATATTTGATAATGTCTAGCCTGTAGCTAATCAAGAGCTCTGTCCTCTGAGAACAAGAACAAGTCTTGGTCACATCAGAATTCATTTCAGTTGAGATCTGAGGGGACCCGAAGAGCCCCTCTGGATTTTCATTACCAGTGATTGAGCCCCAGTACTACTTTTCAGGCAGAGAAGGAGCAATTTGTCTCATGTGAAGTATCTTTAGCAGCCTACCCTATTCTAGGGCCCAGCATAGCTGTGCAGCCTTCTAGCTATGCCCAGGATAGTCTGTTTCTGGACCCACTCTTTCACCAAGGAAACTCTGAGCTGATTTTCTGGGTTTCAAGAGTTCTCCACCTGTTCTCCACCTACTTGGAACCTATGTCTCCTCCTTTGCTCTGGGTGTAAAGTGGGTTCTGGGATGCTCACCTTCCTGCTTCAGGAACTTTTAGTCACTGCTTGTTTCTTTCTCTATCTTGGCCCTGGTTACCCTGCCTATGAATCCACCTATATATTCAAAAGTATGCTTAGTACATTCATCCAGTGACCTTGAGTGTTTCCTGAGCTTTGTCGCCATGTGACTGGCCAAAAACAGAAATCAAGAAAGATTCTTATTTTTTTTCTTTTTTAGTTGTAAGGAAACAGTAGTTGAGTCGTTTAATGAAGCAAGTCACCTCTACCTAGCCTAGCTAACTGAATCTGCTAGGGAGCACCATGACTAAACTCTCCACCACATAGTAGGCAACAGTATATTAGGGATAGGTATAAGGTAACCAAGAAAAACTACAGCTTTGTCTTGGCACTGTACCTACTGACTTTGCAGTTAAACATTCACGAAGCTCAAGTTCTTCCTGCTACATCATAAACTCAGGGGCCAGGGCACTTTCCCAACTGCAACTCACGCACTTAAGGGTCTGCATCTTCAAAAGACTGACTTCATTTGCATTGTAGTTATGACAAGTTACCCACATTTTTCCTTCCTTTACTGAAGATCTGCCCTATCATCCATTCATCTGGGAGATTCAGATTTTGAACTGGTGTTATGGGTAGGTGTGCTACTCAACAAAAGTGTATGCAGAAAAGGTGAAAAAAAAAAACCAAACAGGACAGAGTTGTCAAAACCTGATGAGTGTTTACCCAAAGAAGAACTTAAGAAGAACTTAAACCCTCCAAAATTTACTAAAAGTTTACAGCAGTGTGGGAAAGTCTCTGTGTCTGTAGAGGTAGGGAAACTTGTAAAAAGTTTATGACTGTTCCTAGTTGCCAAAGCAACCTGATGGTTCCCCGATTCTTTCAGCTGGAGGAATTCTACCAGCAGGTTTTTGCTTGTGTGTGTGTGTGTGTGTGTGTGTGTGTGTGTGTGTGTGTGTGTGTGTGTGTGTTTCTCTGTAGCTTCTGTGGGCTAAGTTAACAGCTATCAGCAGCACCCCACCCTCTGTGCCTCCACTGTCTTGAATGCCAGAATTTACCAGCTGTCAGAAACCTGTGGAGGACAGGTGAGGGCAAGGACAGCAAGAAGCGACAAATACACGAGGTACGAGTAGCGCGACTTTGAACACACGACACAGTGAAGGGATGGAGAGGTGTGGAGAGACCGAGGTGGCCAAGGAGAGGCACTGGAGAGAGGGCGGGAAAGGGCTGGGCCAGGCCACGATCCGCGATCCCTGGTCGTTCTGAGTCCGTGTCACAAGGGCAGGACAAGTTCCCAAGAAGACCACCGAAGGACTGGCCGCACAGCATCAGCCTTCAAGGCTACCCTGGTCCCGTCCTTCCGCCCCAACGCCGGAAACGGAAGTGACCACGCTGCACACTTCCGGCCTGGCTCCGGGAGGTGGAAGCAACTGCACGGACGGTGAGGAACCTCAGTTCTGACAGCCTCGGGTCGTTGCGCTGTGGGCGGGGCGCTGGGAGCCGGCACGCTGTGCCCCTTGACGGGCTTGCACGCTGGCGAGGGACCCCATTGTCCGACGTCTCTGGCGGCCTTCGGTGCGGGCCCGGGCGGGTTTGGGTTTGTCCTTGACGAGCGTCCCCCACCCTTTGGGCGGGGCTGTTTCCACCCTCAGAGTTAGTTCCCTTTTGCCCCTGTGGCCTGAAATCTGACAGTCCTCGTGGAACCAGGCTTGATGGCGATCCCGTGTCATTTCTTTCCTCCCGGTTCTCTGTGTTCCGGTGTATGAGTGGACTCTTGCTTGCAAAGGTTTTGTCAGCTTTGCTTTAGCATCTGCCCCGGGACTGCCTTTCACCTGTCAGCTGAAGTGGGTGACACGTAGCCCTGTAAATAGAATTATGCCGGTTTTAACGTCGTTGGGAATGCGGAGCATAACATGTCAAACCAAAGCAAGAAAGCCAAAACCTGCGATTGCAATTATGTATACAACGGAATCTCAATTTATAAAGAAATAGAGAAGAAAGAAATAAAAGCCAGTCCCTGTTAGAAAGTGGTAGCCTCTAGAATCCTATTTCTGTTGCCTGCTAGGACTTTCTGTTTGTGTGTATGTCATTTTATAATCAGAAGATGAAGAAAGATAGTATTTGCAGTGCTGTTCCACTTGAATGAGAAATGCAAAAAGAGAGAGATACACAGGGAGGGAGAAGTTACATGCCTGAAAATCTACAGTGGATTTTAGTGGTTTTCTGAGGCTACATGGGAATGGAGAGTGAAAAGCTCCAGGAAGTGGTCTTTTTTTTTTTTTATCACATCTGTGAATGTTGAGTAGCTGAAATCAAACAAAGCAATGTTATTGATTTCCCTCTTTTGCTAGACAAGTAGCCTGTGTAGGGCCATGACTAGGATAGTATTGGCTCTCAGATTGAAGGCTGACTGGACATCTGTGCTTAGGGGAATATGTAACTTTTTTCCTGTCTTAATTTTATTTTAAAGGTGTTAAAAAGTTAAGAAATGGAATCTTGGGTACCCAGAGCAGTGCTAAGGGGGAGTCATAGGATTCATGTTTGCTCACTGGGCTGCTGAGGTGTGTGTAATAGTCATTGTCTTCCAGTGACTACCAGTGGGCATGGCCAGCAATGGGGAGACAGCTCCAGAGATGGAAAGAGACACGCCTTTGTCATTGTCTTAAGTCCCTGTATAAGTACCCTCTGTGTGTGCCTCTCTGGTGCCTGGGAGACATCCCTGCTTCTCTCTATTAAGATGAAACCTTCCCAAAGATTTGTGGTTTCGTTAAGGAGTGTATGACCCAAGTTTGGCTTTTGCTTCTGGTGTGCTGATTTAGATATCATAGAAGTCTCCTTTAGTTGCACTGTGAACACGTGACCTTTGCAGGTAAATTTGATGCCGTCGTTCAGCCTTTTTTTAACATACCCTCTCCGTGTGTACATAGCGCACCTGTGGCATGATATTTGCAAAGACTCTGCCTGCCTTTTGACCATGAAGGAGACAGATCTGGAGGCTGTGGCAACAGCCGTCCAGAGGGTTGCTGGCATGCTTCAACGCCCAGACCAGCTGGACAAAGTGGAGCAGTACCGCAGAAGGGAGGCTCGGAAGAAGGCTTCTGTGGAGGCCAGGCTAAAGGTAGGGGGCCGCAGGAACCATGGGGCAGAGACGTTTGTCTAGAGTTTCTGCTCCGCCATACTGCTTGCCTACAGCCTAGTTTATGGAGACGTTTTTCTCAATTGAGGTTCCCTCCTCTCACATGACGTCATCTTGTGTCAAGTTAGCATTATTCCCTAATGAGCCTCTGGATTTCATTGGTATTTATTGCCCCCCCCCACCCCATCATCTAGAGTTTTACTAGTTTGGGTTTTTTCCCCCATCTTGGTTATTTTGTCACCCTCCTTTTTTCCCTTCAAAGAACTCTGGATTATTGACTCTTGTATTGCCCTTTTAATTTTGATTTCATTAATTTCTGTCCTGATCCTGATCTTTAGTATTTTTTGCTGTCTACTGTTTCTGAATTTCTCTTGTTCTTGTTTTTCTATGATCTTGAGATAGATACTTAGTTTGAGATCTCTGATAATTCCCATGTAAGCATTCAAAGCTATAACTTTTCTTAAGATATCCTTAGCTGTATCCCAAAGGTTCTGATAAATTGTGCCTTCATTTTCACTTACTAAGAATTTTGAAATTTCTACCTGATTTTTTTTCAATGACCTACTGATCATTCAAGAGAATTTTTTCAGTCTCCCAATTATTATTATTATTATTATTATTATTATTATTATTATTATAGTTTCTGTGGTCTTTCTTGCTTTTGATTGTTAGTTTTATTTCATTGTGATCTGACAAGATATAAGAAATTATTTGAATTTTGTTTTTCTTAAAATTTACTTACTGTATGGACTAAAATGTTATCTATGTTGAAGAAAGTTCCGTAGCTTAATGAGAAAAATGTTTTATTACTCAAATGTTGGATGGAATACTCTGTAG